TGAGTGTAAAACACTTAAATACACCATTTCAATTTGAAAATGTTGAATTTTAAGCATGAAACTTGTTATTTTTTGGTTGGAAGGGGGGGGGCGATAATTTTAGTTTTAGTAGTTAAATATTTTGTTATATATTCTATGTATTTTTTCTATTGTTATAGTACAATATAGTGCGTTGAATAATTGTTGTGTTTTCATATTTTACAACGTCAACGTTATTTCTAGATCTGGGTATGTGTACCAAGTGCGAAGGTGCCTTGGAGTTTCCTGTATTACAATGAAGACTACACCATTCTTTTAGGAACCGTTCCTGACATTGTGGTGCAAAACTGTACGTGTGTGTGCTCATAATTCAATATGGATCTTTCATCAGACCACTCTTTGGATATCAGTATGGATCTTTCATACGATCGTTGTTTGGATATAGCAGCTCTCATAATATCTTTCCTCATCTCTTCTTTTTCTGAAACTGTAATTAAAACCTCGAGAACGAAGTATGGACAGTAAAACTTTGGTTATAACACGAATTACAGTCGTGATGTGGTAGTTTTAGCCACATGAAACGAGTGACGCTTACTTTAAAAGTAAATTATATTTTAACGTCTTTTTTATTTCTTCAGGTTTCGATGTAACGTTTTCTTAAAATAGGATATTTAGAGTTCCTGTTTAATGTTAGTGAAATGCTTAAAAGTTATCGTTTTGTTATCATAATTGTGAAGGATTTTTAACTGTATGAGCTTACAACTTTACTCTCAAACAAGAGTACTTATGCCGGAATAGAAACCTGTGCATAGAATATAAATTGATAGTTGTCAGTATTTGTTGAATTCCTTTATTGGAAAATATCTGTAAGTTTAGGTGGGTCGTAACTGTTTTTATGTATTTTATTTTACACGTAACAAAATAAAAACTACACTTTTAGAAGAATGTAAGATGGTATGTAGTGCTAAATAAACCATGGTATATCCTGAGCTACGTTAAAATAGTACTTCTAAAGACTGAAATAATAATGAATGGGACTTTAAGAAAACATCATGTAACACTAACATTCTGTCGTTCTTAAACTTTATGTTTCTATCCTATATTGTTTTTACATCGGTAAATAAATATTAGAATATTGTAAAGTGTATGAAAACGTACTTCTACAAAACTGCGATAACCAATCATTATATAAATATCATCGAACATGGTCGCTCTATCAGCCGTTAAAACAAATACACATACACAAAGTTACTTGATGTTAATATAATAAAAAGTTAGCAAACAACGATCGCTCTATCAGCCGTTAAAACAAATACACATACACAAAGTTACTTGATGTTAATATAATAAAAAGTTAGCAAACAACGATTTATAAACATAAATAAGTGATTTGTTTGTGGTGGAACGTTCTACATGTTTTGAAAGACCATTGGTCTGTCTTCTTCAGGTATGGTCTCTAACTAAGCGATACAGGGTTTATATTTAAGTACAAAGACACAAGTGTTTAAAAAGGAAATTATTTTACAAGATCATAGATAAAAGGCTGGTGAATAAACCGAGCCACTGATACGACTGATGTTGCTGTCAGGATTTTATGTATATGAGTGGGCTTAATTTATTCTACAGTAGGTGTCTGTGATTTATTGGCGATAAATTCGAACAATGAACCGACAGCACACAATCCACTTGTTTCAAAATAATGTATGCAGAACAAGCCAAACGTATGTACAAAATTCTTTATACTATAGGATATCAAAGTTGTATGTAAAACTCTAAATAATTCTCTTTTCTTGTCAAAAGTCCACACAGTCTGGTACATTTACTTTAGAATCCAATTAAAAAGATGAATTAATTTTCTCTACTCTGTTTCTTATTATACAATCTGTGATAAATTCACTTACTTTACTCCGTGGGTTACCACAGTTGAATCTCGAACTTGAAATAATTGTCTCCTTTTCGTCAAAGTCCACACAGTCTGGTTCAATTACTTTAGAATACCCTTTGACAAAGTAAATTATTCTCACCATCTCTGTTAAACTCACTTTAAATATTGCCCGTTATGGCTAAACTAACAATCACACAGTTTAACTCCACTTTCACTAACTTATCTTTTTCTTATTTCCTTTACTTAACTTTTGTTGGTTACCACAGTTGTATCCAGAGCTTTAAATAATAGTCTTTTTTTTCCGTCAGAAGTCCACACAGGTTGGTTCAGTTACTTTAGAACCCAATTGACAAGACAAATTATTTTTCCTGTCTCTTTTGTTACAATAAAGCTGTGAAACACTAACACTCACACGCCGGCTAACTTCACGTCTTCTAACTTTTTCTCTGACTGAACATTACTTGACTTGCTCTCGCTTGGTCACCTATATATATATATATATAACTTGCCCTACTGAAGCCTAGAACTTTCTACAAACTAGGAGACGCTATGATGTAACAATACTCACATAGTGAGTAAAACTTAAGAGGTTTCCAGAAAGATGACGTCAACAATACTACAACAATTAAACTACACACACAACGTATGACTCTTACCGAGTAACTTAACGAAATTTGTCATAACCATTACTTTTAAAATAATTAGCTTTTAACACTTTCGTTATGAAAACTAAATATTCATTAAATATTAAATCACTAAATAAAACTATTAAGCTAAATAGTCTTGTATATCCAGCAGTTGCTATGACCATTATCAAAGTTTAGTGAAAGATTGCATGCTTTCATTGTTTCTATAATTTGTAAACAATTTTTTCCTTTAGTGTGCGATTGGTTTAGGAGAAAAATTTTGTTCCAAAGTATTTTGGGACTTGTTTCAAATTCCTAAAAGCATATATCTGTAACTCATTTCTATACATATGATAATGGTGTTGTTTGTGCCTTATTTCCAAGGAACGTGACGTTTGTCCTATATATTTCTTCCCACATTCGCACAGGATACTACTAAATGTATCTTGTTTTTGTCGTTTAGGGTTAGGCAATAAGGTGTTTTTTTTTTTCTTATGTGAAGATTTTAATACAAGTTTTACATCAGTGTTCAAGTTATTTTCCCGAAAGAGGGCCAAAGGCCGCTTTGGGAGGGTAAGGTGGTGGACACCTGTTTTAACCATTCAGAGCATTATCCAGTAGTGTGTTGTAACTCAGTCAGTAGACACTAAAATGACGTCACATAAGGAAAGCTTAACGTTACAAATTGCACTATCGTTTCATGTTGTTGATAGGAGAAAGACGGAACTAACATCATAGTTTATACGGTTTTAAAGTTTAGTAAAAGCTCTATCTATGATGTTGAACTTGAAAATTAGATATCAGTTCAGTTCATGACTCTTGACAGATGAGAGAAAAAGTGGAAATACAAAGTTGCAAGACGGTGAATAATGGGTGAAATAAGTTCTACACACACACACACACATATATATATATATAGTTATTTATCTATATGTATTACTTTCTACTACATACATATATATATATATAGTTATTTATCTATTTGTATTACTTTCTACTACATACATATATATATATATAGTTATTTATCTATATGTATTACTTTCTACTACATACATATATATATATATAGTTATTTATCTATTTGTATTACTTTCTACTACATACATATATATATATATATATTTATCTATTTGTATTACTTTCTACTACATACACACATAT